AGAAAGTAAAATTTGAGAAGAAGTTGGAATAGAAGATCTAACCAATGAGTAGCAAAATTCCTAAACAAGGAGAAATCTGATTAGTAGATTTCAACCGCAAAAAAATTAAAGAACAATCTAAAATCCGGCCAGTTTTAATATTGAGTAATAATTGGCAGAACCAATATAATGATTATTCAGTAGTAGCCCCTTTAACTAGTGAAGAAGAGGAGTTGCAACACATTGAAGTTTTTGAAGTGCTAATTGAAGCCAATAAAGAAAATGGTCTAGATAAAAAGAGTAAGATATTACTCCATCGCTTATTAGCCATTGATAAAGAAGAAAGATTAATTAAAAAATTAGGCCAAGTAGATAGTAAAATTTGAAAACAGGTTTGAAAGGCTTTGTGAATTGTATTTACCGGTCAGAAAATAGATTAGTTATCCATAAATACATATTTCCATATTTCCATAAATACATATTTTATACTTATAGTTGTCCAACTACTACCAAATAAATATTTCCTCCTCCTTGGTAAAATCTACTAATAATTGATGACCCCTTTGGCTAGTAGTAATAATTAGTTCATATTTTTTTCCGGTCTCTAATTCCTCTCATCTACTTTTTGGTATCTGATTAGGAAAGGTCAAAAATATCTCTCCTTCTTCACTTCTTAATATCAGATAATCGTGTCCGTATTTATCTAAGCGAATTTCCTTTTCTTTAATAATTTGAGTAATAACTTGGTTAAGGTTCATAATAATTATTTTAAATATAAAACTATTTACTAGTTTTATAATTCTCAATCAAAAGCAATTCTTCAAGCCTTTATAACCTGCTCCATTATTTCTGGGTTGGCAACTCCCAACTTTTCTTTTAGTCTTTCTTTATCAACAGTGCGGGGATAGTTCAATTTTAGTTTACTGGGTTCATCTAAACCTGTTTCGGCTGTATTGCTAAAAAAGACCTCAAAAGGTTCAACAATTTTTATATTTTTAGTTGTCATTCCGGCTACTACTACTCATTTGCCATATTCG